AGCTACGCTTCGAAAGTGACTTCGATGTGGTATAATGATTAGGTATCTTGTCTCGCTAGATCAATTACGGCTGGATAGTGAGTTCGATCCTAACTGGGTGCTCTGTGGTTTTGTCCCTGTGCAACATCTCAGCTAGTCTTAGCAACACACGGTATATGGACGAAAAAAGGCGTCAGTTTAAACCATATCCCCCTGGTGTCAGTTTTTCTATACAGGGTGCGATGGATAAATTGTCTAAATTACGCAAAAATGAAAATAATTCTGAAATGTCAATTTAACAGACATATTTACCAAAATGACACAAAAATATTTTGAAACTAAAGAGTAAATTTATTCAATAAAATCGCCATTAGCTTCACCCACGACCTCCAAGACGACTTCGGAATCTCCTTCAACTCTTCTGGATGGTCACCTTGTTTATTTCGTGGATACTGCCATAATCCTTGCCTTCAGCTCATCTTTGGTTTTAGACTGAATTTTGTTGGTCCCTCGTTCAACTGCGCTCCACACTTAATAAACAAGGGGGTTGCAGTCTGGGAAGTTTGTTGGCTAGATGTAAGGGATGATCTGTTCGCAGAAATCGTCTGACAGCTATGACTGAGTACTCCTGCTTTTATGGCATGGTGCATATACATGAGGCCAGATATAGGGTCTTCCAGCAGACACCCTCTTATCCCAGAGCAGAACAACCTCCTCAAGGCACTTGGTATAATCCTCCGTGTTGAGTCTGAGGCCTTGTGGGAAGATTAATGGAGGCACAACTTCGAGTTTGCTAGTGATCACCATGATGTTGACAGGATATATCAATCAACTCTTTCCGAATCTTCTGCACTGTCCTCAGATTGACATCCAAACATTCTGAAATGTTCGTATTGGAACTACTGGCGTGAATGCCAAGCAGTACAGCAGCCGTATCCAAATTTCTGGCGGAATGAATTCCGTCATGGGGCTCTTTTTCTCACAGAAGCTGCCCAATTGACCCTACTATACTGTGTAGTTGACAAAAATCTAAAACAAACGACGCGCATGCGCGAAATTAAAAATATAAAATGAAGACAATTTATCCATATCACCCTGTTTGGCTTAAATTGTAAATGTTAATTTTGGGAAAATGGAAAATTTAACTGAAGTATTTTGGAAAATTTCCAAGCAAATGATCACACAATATCGGAAAAATAAGGTCAAATTTACCTATATCATTTTAATGTCAGTTTAAACTGACATCTTTCATCTTTACTGTATATCAGCGTTGTAATTATGAAAGCAAATTTTGAAAATTGAAATTGCACTGGGATATGTTTAAATATTTCCGTATTTTCATTTGAAATCGAGAATAGACGAACTTTAAGCAAAATGGTCATAATACATGAATATAGAAAGACGTCATTTTAAACCAAATAATCTAATGTAATTTTAAATTTACTTCTTTCATATTGTCCAGATATCCAAACTATACAGAAATATATGCTCATGGAATGAGAGGGGAGGGGAAGAGCCCAGAAAATGAAACTAATGTATAACAAAACTTTCAAACTAAACGTAACAGATGTTAGTAAGACCCAACCACCCAACCAAAATAAGTGGCCGCTGTATTCTGCCTTTAGACAGAATCAAAATGTACACTCCCTAACAAGGAGGGAGGATAAAAAAAAATGTATATAATGTTAGTCGAACATTAAAGCTGTAACTATAATTATAAAAGATAATTTTGGAAAGAATAAATTCACTGGAATATGTTGCAAAATTTCGAAGTTTTCATTTGAAATCAATAAAATCCGAACATTAAGCAAACTGGTGAAAATATATGGGAAAAAAAATGAGGCAGGTATTTGTTTGCTTAAGAGTCCGCCGCACCGACTGACCTTGAGCGAATTACAATGGGCGACAAACAGCCGAGAATGATGTAATAAAAAGTGAATTAAATCGAGTTTGAAGATTGTGCAGCTGCTGGTCCTTTTAATTCTTCCCAAATTCTTGTAAAATCAAACCCATTTTGTTTTCTTCCTTGTAAAAATGGCTAAGTTTTAACACGATATAACGCCAGCGCTTGATTCATAAATTATTTCATTCTGGTCAGTCGACAGTGTCTAACGACTAGTATTAAATTATCTCTATCTCTCCGACTGTTTATTACAAAAGTGACACGCTAGTTAACCATCACACTCGGCTGATAGGACACAATATCGGATTAGAACCAATAAACGCTTCCTGTCTGTTCATATCGCACAATATTCGACTAAAATTACTAAACTGTCATTGTCTGTTGTTACCAGATATCGTTCTTTTCTTTCATTCTTTTAGTTCTTGTATGCGTCCGTCCGCGTGTATATGTGACTGTGTCAATAAAAATAGTTGTAATTCATCCTCATATCAAGCGGACAAAACGGTGAATAGCCTCGAGTTACAAGGACTTTAGAAGTTACGTTTTCATTTTTAAATTCATTTAGATATGAACGCCCATACATAGAGAAGAGATCGTCATAGGTAGCTTATTCATAGCTCTGGAAGGTGTTGGTGCTTTATACAGGAAAATCTTGCAAAGTTAAAAAGAATTTTCTTGTTCGACTGGACATATATAGAGATCCGTTGCTATTATTGAGCGCATTATATAAGACTGCAGTGCCAAAATACTCTGTGTCGTCAGCTGAATATAATATTATTGGCAAACCGTAATGGTCGTGTGAACTAACGAATGGAAGGATCCTTTTACAATTTTAATTTTGGGCTGAATCTTTATTCATTGATTAAGCTCATGGATAGCTCTAAGTCAATAAAATATCCGTTGTGACGTCACCCCGTCGGTCGCTGCGCCAATCGTGACGTCTGCCTGGCCGCGCCCGCCGTGCTGCCCTGGTCGCGGCGCCAATTGTGACGTCCCCCGTCTGTCTCCGCGCCCCGTTGCCGTCCTATCCTGTCCTGTGACGACCAATGTAATTTGGTATTGGTCGCAGCACCAAAATTTGACGTTCTAACCTTTTGCTGATTCGGATGGGTATCTGGTTAGATTCGGTATCAGCCTTGTCGTTCCCAGCTCACCGCCAACGTCTGGTTACCGAAGTAACTGTTTTGATTTCGAGTCTAACCTACCCACGTTGTGATTTGATCTTATGTAGACGAAATCAATCAGTCGCCGAGCCGTAATGCAAGTCGAGTCCGAACAAGGGTAATACCGCACAGGTATATGTAAAAGAAAATAAAGTAATAACTCGAAAAGTTCAAATCTGTTAAAAAGGAATAACAATATTTTATATCTGGTTTCTGAATACAGGACTGCGTCTTCCTCCCAAACCGCTAATATGGATACGTGACACTTTACGTTTGTTAGGCGAGTCTTAACATCTTAAATTGTTCTTTTAAAAAACTGGATTTGGTGTATCTTAAGGCGATATTCGTAAAACTTGTTTTGGTGGTGTGAATCTAAGTCGTTCTTCAAAAATAAATTGTCCTTGGTTAGAAGTTGAGGTCGAGAATGCGTGGATCTTTCAGTCAGGTTCCTGCGAGGCGGGTCTCAGAGCTCACAGCTCAATTCTTGCCTGTCTTTCTAACCCCAACTCAACTTAACTCCTACTCGTTGCGACTCTGCTTATATGGACGCCGACTAAAACCGGGGTGGGCCTGTCGGGGTTTGAGCGTCCTTGATAATTCTAAATCCGCATCAAGGATTTCCTTTGTTTTCGGTCAGAAAATTTATTAGTTTCCATTTTTGGAAGTCCTTAATTCTAGTTTAAGGGAATCGTCCTCCCAAATTCTTTCTTTCTCATGTTGGTATCTCATACCAATCCCTTCAGAGGCGTCAACAGGTTTCCCCTCACTCTCACAGTGGCATCTCACACCGATCCCTTCAGGGGGCGTCAATAGGCCTCCCCTCCTTCTTCACATGATTACCTTCGCCTACCGCTCACGCCATCATTCAGCCAATGGACCCCCAGCAGCGTGTGTGTGGCTAGACTGGCCTCGGTTTAAAAATCTCGGTCAAAGAAAAAAAAATTATCTTCCCTTTTTTTACTGTTCTTTCTTTTCTTCTTCCCGACAACAAACCCATACGACCCGTAGTGTGATCCTTAATCTCAATCTTAACCGAATGTCACCTGGAGTTTGTCAATCGAGATTTTCGCCAGCATCAAGTGGGTGGTCATCTGGCGACTTTGCACCCTGGTGCCAATTATTCATTCTGATAAAATAATTTTTCTATCATGGCCGGCTCCGACACAAAACAGGTGCTCTTCTCAAATGATATTTCCGAAGATAGTTAAAGGTTTAATCTTTTCTTCCTTGTACTCTGCGGGTGGTCCAGCTGACACCTCTCTCCGCCAGCACGCGACCTGACCAATATTATCTTTTAGCATTCTGTCTTGTAGGCCACTTGACTGATTTGAAATTTCCATTATCGCCATGGGTGGACGGCTATCTTTTATTCGGTGCGTTGTCATAAATCAAATTAAACCCGGCAGAACCGAGATCTTACTTTCTTCGCTAATGAAAATAAAATCTTTACCACTTTTCTTTATTAGGAAAAATAACATCGCTCGGTGTCTTTTCGTGATAGCTTCTTATCACCTAATTTAATTCTCGCCTTTTCTTTTTTTTTTCGCATCCCTAAATAGTGTCACACGTAGAAATTTCCTCGTTAAATATTCGAGCTTAACAACTTTAACAAAATACTGTACTAACAATCATGAAAAAAATTTGAAATTGACAACTTTTTATATTTCATTGAAACAGACATTAAACATTCCTTTCTTTCTTTCTTTCTTTTTTTCTTACTGAAACCAAGTAGCGCCGTTGATATGTATTTCCACGCAACCAAAATGGAATAGTCCAATATGTATGAGATATTGTCAGGAGATGTTAAACATTTCTGTTTTCTATTGTTTCTTTCTTTTCTTTTCTTTTCTTTCTTTCTTTCTTTCTTTCTTTCTTACTGAAACCAAGTAGCGTCTTTGATATGTACCACGCAACGAAAATGGAATAGTCCAATATTTATGAGATATTGGCAGGAGATGTCTATTTTCCCTTCTTTCTTTCTTTCTTTCTTTCTTTCTTTCTTTCTTTCTTTCTTTCGTTTTCTCATTGAAACAATATGTCGTCTCTGATTTGTCATTTCCGTGTTTTCACGCAGTCAAAACGGGAAAGTCGATTGTTTATGAGGCATTGACGTCGTAACGACCGTGAGAATTAACTAAGGAGTTAACTAACTAACGAAGGTAGGGACATGCAGAATTATAATAGGATTGTCAACGACATCTGAAACCAAGAAAATACAAGAAGATCATGAAGCAGATTAGTTGCAATATATGGCAAAGTAAGACAAGTTTTTTTTCTTTAGTCGTTCCAACTCAGCGCAAGGCTGACCTGTACTCGACCATTATAACGATGCATATCATTACTTACCTTAACTTCTCAATCAGAAAAAGAAAACGGACATACCTAAAAGACACAAGTTTCCCTACAGTTTCTATATAAAATAATTAGTGTTTCGTAATAGAAGACAAAGGTTTTGTACAGTTTTTCTTTGTCTACATGTGAATACGCACACACGCCTTACAATAGACGGCAACAAGTAAACTTTTAGATTTCATGACATGAATTATTTCTTTTTTTTCTCTGTATACTATCTTGAATTATATGTAGTCTCATTTTATTATTTACAAGTAATCTTTTCGTTATAGTTAATTTATAATAAGAAAAGACGACGACAGAGAGGGAAACAACAGATATTTATGGCTTCATCAGCGCCTCGATTACCTTGATTCAAAACAGAGCAAAGAAATACGAATGTTGTAACATTTTTAAAATTTTAATGTATGAAGACAAGGAGAAACGGAAACTGATGGCGACATAACTAGGAGATACGTGCGAATATCAATTAGGAAAAGTGTCATCAATTAACACGTTTCCTTGTTATTGTGTGCCATTGTGTTTCCATGTGCCAAGACAGTGTTGTACTGATATTTCTTTCTTTTAGGTACCGTATGTTTCAGTGAAGATATACTCGTCTTTAAAAAGGGGGGAAAATATTTGAGTGACAGAAGAAAAATCAACAATAATTAAATCAGTTTTTTTTTTCTCTTATATTGAAAAAATAGAATTGCTGAAAATTCTAAAAGATTTACAATTTATATATATATAAAGAATTAATCTTTACTCTGCAACATTTTTGGTTCTGACCTGGCATCTCAACTTTAATCACTCTCCCACCGCTTTAATATAGCTTCCCTGCACATTTTTTTCTGTAAATAATTTCAGAGGAATTCTTCTGATGAGCTGGACTGGCAGTAAGGTCTCATCATTTTACAGTTGTATATAAGTTATGTGCTAACAGTTTCTTTCTCGTACTTCTCGCTTGTGGAATTTAGCGACTGACCTTGCATTTAAACTTTTGAAGACTGTGGTTATTAGGGAAACAAAAAAGCGTAAGAGCATTCCACAGTTGGGAAATGCAAAAAAAAAATGAGTCTGTCAGACTAGAAATGGCGATTATATCTTGCTAGTTCGTTAGTAAACGGCGAGGCCGACTTGTCAATCTAATAGCACGCTTAAATTTATTTAGTCGAGGCATCAGGGGGTAAAAACTCATCAGAGCCTTTGCCATGAAAATATTTGAAGAAAAGGCAGAGGGAAACCACGATACGCAGGTGAGAAAGTAACTGAAAGGAAGATGCCAGATCAGGAACGAGGTTCTATGAGGTTCTTGCTTTCCTGTCAACATTGATCTTCAAAAATTTAAATGTAGTGTCACTCGTCATCTACTCTCTCCTTAACTCCCTCTTCTTTTATCGCCCTCTCTCCTTATTCCTCTTTTTTTCTCATATTCTTTCACACTCCATAACACCCTTTGTGTCTTAGTGGCTATATCACCTTGCTTGCGGGGAAAATATTTTAAAAATAATATCAGATAAATAGATTGTGATGAAATAGGACCAAGCATTTTACTCGTGAATAAAAGGGCACGATGTCTCGCCTGCTCAGTTAGGGTCGCCATTTGCAATTGAGTTAAAGCGCATGCTCTTTTAAAACTATCGCTAATTTGCATCTCTGGTTGAAAACCTGTGAGCCGCACAGATGAGTAGGGATTCAACACTAGGTAAATCGGTTCTGGATGCGGTGGATACTAGAACAATCTCTCTGCTGACCACAGATATCAAGACACGGAAGTCGATGGCTGTTAACAGGGGAGACAATGGACGAGGCTCTGAAAGACTCCAAATCGCAAAAAATGTAGCAAAAAAAAAAAAATCTTGCTGGCAACGGAGGATTATTCCGGTAGGGAGCATTTTTACCTCCAAATGTGCACCTGCAAGACCAGGATTACGCTGCAAATTTTCACCTAGATAATGTGAGCGTCTGTAGCTCCTGATCAGATCCCGGTGTCCTCATTCTTATGGTTCCAGTTAAGATTCTCAACTTCCCAGTTTTTTTATGCTCTTTTTATCTGGCTGGATTACCCTTAAATATTTCCCAATTCCATCTTGACCTGTCTTTCTCTCGCCTCTTGATTCTGCTATACATACATACATACATATATATATATATATATATATATATATATATATATATATATATATATATATGTATCTATCTATCTATCTATCTATATATATATATATATATATATATATATATATATACATATAAATATAGATAACTAGACTCGTTTGAAAAAACCCTCGAATTTTTGATTTGCTAATCAAATCAATCTCGAGGGAAAAAGGTTTTAAAAAAAGAAAGAGCTACAAACATGGACTTCTGCCGACAAAAAATCGCACAGATGCAGGTCTGAAGCCCAAAAAAAAAACCCGATACGAGTAACAACTAACTAACAAAAGAGCTCAATACAACCGTAGAGCAGACCTAGATACACACCTAGTGAGCCAGACAAACCTACCTAGGTTTCACCTAAACGGATCGTCAGCCAAACTTTCCCTGACGATCCGTTTAGGTGAAACCTAGGTAGGTTTGTCTGGCTCACTAGGTGTATCTATATATATATATATATATATATATATATAGAGAGAGAGAGAGAGGGAGAGAGACTGTGATTTCTCGGACATTTCTCGGACATTCAGGCCGGTAAATGTTATTAATACTATTTATTTTAAACAGAGCATTTACTTAAATACTTGTATCTATAAAAAAGAATGTGTAGATATAAAAATGTCTTAAAATAATTGTCGGTCTTTGTCCATTTCATAATGTGTGATGTCATTTGTTTACATTCGGATACTCATTGAGCAGATATGAATGTACGTGAGAAAAAATAATTTATTCAGACGAGATAAGTATAAGTTACCAGTTGACTATAATATCGCAAGAGAAGCTCAAAATGGGGCATTTAGCTTCCAGACATTTATTAGTACCTCCGAACTACTGCTTGGGTAACATTTGCCCAAAATGTCCAGTTGGATTACCGCACATGCATTTTCCATTTGCTGTCTAAATGCCGCCAATATGAAATGCCATCTGTCGAAAAAAAAATATCGTAAAGTGTCATTGTAATTTGATACATCTACGAAAGACAAGTTTTTACTTTCTTGATGTTTATATACATATTCTCTCTCTCTCTCTCTCTATATATATATATATATATATATATATATATATATATATATATATATATATATATACGCACACACAAATACACACAGTAGTATAAGTCAAAAGTGTATAGAAACCCTCTGAATTTCGAATAATAGCCTAAAAATTGAAAGTTATGTATCTTTTCAAAATTAATTTACATCTTCTCTTCGCGCCAGAAAGAATTTGTCTTCCTGGTGTATTTTATCATATATTCAACAACAAAAATAATAATAATAACCCTGTTCTTAACCCCCTCCCCTTTCGCAAGAATAAGCCTCAAAAGACCTAGGCGTACAGGCTTGTTCGTCTGGTGGTAAATATCGAGTTGAATTCACAGAACAGAATATCAACCATAAACAATTTAGCGGTCCCTGAGGCGCAATAAATTTTCGACATCCTTAATTGAACCATAGCTGATATTAAGCGAATGGATATCAAAACGAGAAAGCTTCTCACTTGCTACCGTATGTCATCATAAGGATGATGTTGATCGTCCGTAGGTGCGCAGATATGAGGAGGCTGAGGATTAGTTCAACTAGAAATGTTTTACAAAACCACAACAATTGGCCTTCAAAGATACTAGAAAACTATAGAAGACTGGATGATGATCTGCATCTAATAACATGAAAGAAATAAGAAACTTTATTCCGTAATAAAGAAAACCAACAAATTCAAAAGGAAACTTTAGGTGGATAAAGAAGTGCAAGTAAACCATAATGCACCTACTGCAGCGGCAAAGAACCTAAAATAACAAAGCAAATGCAGTATACCATATGCACAATCGACAGCAAGATACAACTCTTTATGATCAATACTCTGTTCATACCAAGGACGTTATGTTGTGCAGGATTAAAAGCTGAAATCGAAGATTTTATTCTTGCTACACACTGCCAATGATTGTTAAACTAGAAATTACCAAGCAGACATACTGAAAAATGGTTTTAACCCAAAATGTGATAAATATCCAGAAACAATTGACCATCTTGTATGAGATTTCACGGTATTGGCACCGACTGAATATAAAACCCGACATGATAGAGTGGGCCAATATCTTAATTGAAAAATCTGCAATTTTTCTGGAATGAAAACCGCAAGAATTTGCTATGAACACCACCCAGAGCAGTTACAGAAATAAGACCTGTAACAATTTTATGGGATTTTACAATAAACACAGAAAGAACAATAAAAGCTAATCGCCCAAACCTTGTGATCAGAGACTACAAAAACAAGATGTTCCTTTTTTGTGACATGGCAGTCCCCGCAGACTGTAATGCATCGGTGAAGATCTTCAAAAACTATCAAAGTACATGGACCTCGACACCTAAATTCACAAAATGTAACACCTGAGGACATCAACTATTCCAGTTGCAGTTGGATTGATTGGAAAAGATTCCGATAAACTCATTGAAGCCGAAACCTTAAAGAAGTACAAAATATTGTACTCACAAGTACAGCTTACACATGAAGAACGGATGTATCTATGT